GCGACACGCCGATTTACACGTTGAACGACGTAAAACCGCCGAATTCGATCGCGAATTAAGGCCATGGTACACGAAAAAACGTAAGTAATAAGGAAGAAATTGACCGATCACAGTCTATTATTCTTCTTACGGTCGAAAAATCGGCTGTTTCAAGGTTGTACGCCTTAAGTTCTCATTTTAGACCTCGCTTGGCAATAAAGTATCGATTTGTCAGTAAACAACGAACTTACGAAGGGATCGCTTAATATCGCCACTGAAAATCCGGCGCCACGGGAACCAACTACCTTAAGTCTTACTTCTTATGTTTTTCCGTCCGTCACGAACATTAAAGATCGTTCGGCGAGCTGACTCCGCGTCGACTGCTTTCTCTCTCTCGCAGTCCGATCGCGGCCCGTATTACGCGCGAAAAGTCCACTCGGTGGCGGTCGTAGCTCCGGCTATAGCCGCCGAGGATCGTTGTAAACAGGACCTAAATGGCGATTTGAGCCGGGCATAAAAGGCCCCGCGTAACGACGTGCTCAACGCGAACCGTAATTTTCTTTGCGCCGCCACGCTCGCATTTAGCCGCGCCGCGCTAATCTTTACGGCGACTCGCCGCTGCTCGCTTGCTCGGTCGTCGACTCGCTTAACGATCGGCTTGCTGTATCGTTTTCGAGCGTGTCGCGGCGGCCCCGCTGCTTTTCCGCGCCCTTGCTTTTCTGCCGGCCGTCGTTCGTCGCACCACATCGCAGCGCCGAGCACGATTGTGACACCGTCCCGTGTACTTTACCGCGCGTTTACGGCCGTATCTGATAAGCCGACAGTTGTAGATCTCGTACTTAGTTAGTTCGCAACACATTATTACCTTCCCCTTCAATAATTACATGTTCAGATATTTTTGTGCTGTGATATATATATATATATATATATATATATGTGTGTGTGTATATATATACACACACACATATATATTCGTTGATCTTTGAAATAATTATGACGTTCATGATCGTTCACGTAAAAAAAAGAAGAAAAAAAAAGTAAGATGATTATTCCCGGGTTAAGTAATTATATTTTCGTACAAAGCCGCTCTATCCTAAGAAACACGCGGAAGGCCGCTTTTTTTCAGCGAAGCTGAAATTCAAACGTCTCTCGCGCATTAATCATTATTATCTTTTTAATCGCGACCGGTGTAAAAAGCACACACAGACATGCTGAAGTGGCATTGTCGGTCTTTCGGTGAAAGACGTCGAACGGTACATGGATTTACATTCGATTCGCTTGAATCAGGCGTTACGCAATTTTCTCGCCTGCGCCGGTCCCGTTCCGCGGGACAAATCGTCGATTATTATTAAACGATAATAGGAACGAGTTTGGCCAGCCGTTTCGTATACACCGACGACAGATGTTATCCCCCGTCGAAACGGGAGTCGATCGCGGCGCTTTACACACGCTACTGCTTTTGCTCACCGTGTATATTCGTGTCGCGCAACGTTATACGGGCGCCAACTATCCTCAATTAAACCGCATTCAGTGCGTTTGTGTACTCGCAGGTGCGGCGTTTATCTGTTTTTCACCTGTTTGTGCCACTTCTGCGACTCCCACGTGGCGCGAACGATTTCACGGTGAACAGCGCGCGTTTTCCACGAACGGCGCGCGATCATAAGGTTCGAGGCAAAAAGCGGCGGCGCGAAACAATCAGCCTCGGGTAACGTTGTCCTTTGATTATTTATCGACTCCGCACACGTATTGTTCTATTATTCGGAGTGCCGCCATTGCTTTTAACATACTGAAGCAACGCAGGCGCGCGCACGCGCGCGTGCTGTTCGGCTAATTGTCATTACGCACAACAGTCTCAGTTCGTGCAATTAAATGCACGGAAAAGAGGATTTTGCTGTATATAATGCAACTGAAATTGAGTTACCAGAACTAGTTTTTAGCTGAAATATCGTTTAATCATTCCTTATAAGACACGAAAGGAAATCTAGAGAATAACTAAGCGATTCCGATCGGAATTCATTCCGAACAGGTTCCATAAAAGATGCCCCGGGTAAATTCAGTCAAACTCATTTATCAGTGTTGTTCATGTCGTTATGGAAACGCTGCCAAAGGTTTCCTTAGGAAACAAAATGGAAATCTAGGAAATAATTGAGCGATTCCGATCAGAACTTCTTCCAAGCATTTCCATAATGGATGCTCAGCGTCGCGGAAAAGCGACAACAATAATTTCGAGTATCGACTTTCTATTTTTTTTTTTAGAGAAAGAGAGAGACGAACAACAATAATAATAATGATAATAAAAGAATTGTTGCGTCGAACAGACGCGCGCTATTTAGCTAATTATTGGTCTGTACAACAGAAAAAACCTCAGCTCGCGTAAATTAAATAGACGCCTGACTAAGATTCTCTGTTAGATCTTACCAGACACGCCTCTTTTTAGAGAGGGATTAGCGCGAAAAAATTTCGAGGCGACGCGCTTATTAATTTTTAGGGCTCCTTTGCGCGAGGGAAAGCTATCGCGCGCGTCTCTCGCTATCCTCGAGAAAGAACTCGCGCGCGACCTTTCCTCGGAACGTTATTTTCTACCTCTAATGTCTAACGATGTACAGCGCATTACGAGCCACTTTGTGTGAAACATTGTGCATCGGCTGCGACCGCCGCACGCTTTCATCCCCCACGCGATCGACGGTTAACGACGGCTAAATGCCGGCGATATTGTGCGCCGAAAAGGTCGCTTTCCCGATCGTCGTCGGCTTTTAGGCGCGCGAGGCGCACGATCGGAGGCCTCCGAAGGTCCGAAGCACGCTGAATAATTAAGTAGATTGCCATGGAAATTAGATTAGACGAGTTTCTCGCGGGACACAACAATCCGGCTTAATTGCCCGGCATTGTGTCGGCGAAGTTAATGGCTGCGCCCGCTGCGTACACACGTTCGTCCCGTCCGAGGACAGGTTGCGCTTTATAATTGCGACTGCGTGAAACATGGCGAGGGGGGGGGGGTAGGGGAGGACGCGAGTCCGCGAGCCCCGCGGTCGCGAAAACACAAAACGTTACGACGACACCGAGACATGAGATTGGATTACGCAAATCGTCGGAGCACGACGGTGCAACGACAGCGGCGGCGTCTCACTCTTCGCATTTCGGTTCCCATCCACGAATAAGAATTCCTTTATTATCATTATTATTATTGTTGTTAGAGGAGAAGGCGGTATTACGGCCCTCTGAAATATCTCCGGTTATTAAGTGGCGAATTTCTAACGCTTACTTATGGAATCATTTGTTTATTACGCAATAATAATATGCCAATATACAACAGCCTGCATTTGTTAAAACGTATTTTTACTTTAGAGCACTTCGAGACGTTTTTCGAGGTACATTTCAGCGCTTAATCACACATATTTCTTCATTCTTTTTAAACTTGTTTAAACGATTTAAATCCAATTATTAGTACTTTTTGAGTTCCCTTCTCCGAAAGATTCAAAAAATTATCCGAGCGAAAAGGGATCGAATAGATTCGAAATTTTAGGCTGACTGGTAAAGTAACGGTGAAAAGTAACGAAATAATATGAGAATCTTTAAGAAAATACGTCTCTTTAATTTAAAATTTATCGAAGCATCCGGGAATGCCGTATTGCGTAGTATGGTCCACGCATTCCAGAAGGCGAAAGAGGGAGAGGATACGTCGCGATTAATGCAACACATTAAGAAGAATTGTTGCGACTATACAGCGCTAGCGATCATCTCCAGCTCCGAGGTCTCACGTTACATTATGCCGGCCGTTTGAGCCATCCCGGATGATAATTTCGCGTTATTTCCCGAGGTCGAGGTCGCGGCGGCATCGCCAATTCGTGCGGAAAAGGAGACCATCGATCTCCGCCGAATAAATCGCCGAGGACGGTCGTCGTGACGAGATGACGCGGTAAATCATCCTCAGGGTTCTCAGGAATTCAAAGGACCGTCTCCCTCCCCCCCCCTCTCTCCCGTCCCGGCTTTAGCCGAAGGTTCCGCTCGGCGCGCGATATTAACGCTATTATTTCTGCGTTATTGCGAGTTGCGTCGCTGATTCGCCGGGATAAATGAATTTTAGGTGATAAAAGGCGATCCTTTTGTCGCTCCGCGTGAACAGGAATCTCCGAGTCGTTTACACAGCGGGAGACAAGTTAGAAAACAAGTTCCGCGATCGACTCGCCAATTAAATCCCGGTGATCGGTACAATATACCATGCCAGTCAAACAACGGAGAACAAATAGCGCGATAGAGACGCTTCTCTAAACAGATTCAATTCGCTCGAATCGCTGTGCGGTTGTCATTAATACCATTATATTGTTAATTCGTCCGCTCGAGGATTCCTACTCCGGCATTTCGATATAACTTCAAACATTGTATTATATATATATAATACCGTTCACTAGTGTTGCAACAGGTACATTTTTTTAAATGACTAAATACAGATATAAGTTTAAACAATTAGATATATATATACGTATCTATCAGAATATATTTAGATGCGCTTCATAAAATATATATTCTCATAGTACATGCATTTATATCTAATTACTTATCTAATTACTTATCTCAAATTTATATCTGTATATATTTGCATTTCCCTTTCAGTATCTTACTCGCTACTTGGTTGCTTAGAAAAATGCATCTGTTACAACACCGCTGTGTTTACCGTACCTTGAGACGAAAATTTTCACGAGAGACCCATCTCGCCTCCTAATTAGGCAGCGAGATTTATTAAGAGGACGAGATAAGATCTGGCTTTCTCCTAATTGTGAAAACTAGTCCAGGTTAGGCGCGCGAGATTATGCATGGACGAACTAGAATATTTATCCGCGGTAAAGCAGCGGCGAGCGGTTCTCCGGAAAACCTCGGAAGGAACGAGCGACGACGACGCGGCGTTCGAGCGACGCGGCGCCGAGGCACCGAAATTTCGAACGGGAAGCGATCTCGCTCTCGTCGCGTCGCCGCGAGAGGCCTGACCGCTCTTGACCCTTGAACGTGTGCGAATCGGGACTCACCTTGCCGCGGCGGCGAGCGTCGCTCTATCCGAGTGTGGCCCCTCGCCTAATTATCAAGGTTATCACCGGCGGGAGACAATTGACGCGTCGAACAGGTTTTCACTTTTAGTTCCTCCGTCTCTTTCTCTCGCCGGCGCGCGCGCGCGCAGCCACAGTTTCTTCACACGCGGCGAGCCGCCGGCGGTGCAACGGGCACACGCGTCCCTCTGTCCACCTGCGCGTGCAGGCACGTGCACGTCGACGAATCTCGGCACTGACGACGACGGAGAACGAATGAAGAGAGAACAAGAGAGGAAGAGACGCGGAAAGAGGATCGCGATTCCCCTTCCGGCCGTTCACGGCCGGCCGACCGATCGATCCGCACGCGTTGAGTCCCGCGAGGATCCCGCGGAGGGATCCTCCTCGGCGATGAGGACTCGTCGGCCGGGCGACGCACCCAGGAGAGCGGACGAGCACGGATCAGGACTCGCTGCGCCAGCGGCGTGCGTCGCGCGTCCTCGGCGAGGATGCGGTGGACGGTGCGGCAGGTGCAGCAGCTGCAGCTGCCACGGTCGTCGGCTTCATACTGAAGGGGAGAGATACACGGTTCGATGCCGCCACCGCCGCCGCCGCAGGCTGCCGCCGCGCGAGCAGCTACGAGAAACTGGCTCCGAACGCCGCCGCCGCCGCCGACTGCTCCGAAAACTCGGAGCAGTGCCGTGCTCTCTCTCTCTCGCTCTCGTGCCTACCGCCGCTCTCCTCGTCGTGTCCCTCTCCCCCCTTTTGCCATCACCAAGCACGCTATTAGTGTGTGCGTTTGCCGTTCGTGGTGGGGTTCTGTTCTCCAGCGCGAGGAGTAGGGGGCATCCTCTCTTTCTCATTCTCTCTTTCTCTTTCTCTCTCTCTTTCTCTTTCATCTCGACCGGGCTCTCCTTCGCATGGGATCGCGAACGGGCCCCGAGGATATTTTTGGATTTTTCTTTCGATATGTTGTCCTGCGCCTCTCCGAGTCGCCTTTAAGACCCGCGCTCAGGGATCCTCTCGATAAATCCGCGCGAGAAATAGCTGCCCTCGCGACACCGCAGGCCTCGTGGAATTCGAATCTAAGTGTACCTGCGGCACGCGTCTGTCTATTGATTCGGATTTAGTCGCGCGATTCTCTACTTCCGACTGTTGCTAAGGAGGAAGTCGCTTCCCTCCCGGCGGCTCGCCGTATTTCTTCGGTCTCAGCGTCCGCAACGAGATAGTACCACGCGGAATCTCGCGACGGAAGGTTTCTCTCCGGGGCGAGCTCCGCGGAGAAGGTGATATTTTAATAAAACTCGATCTCTCGACAAATAATGCAAATCGGCAGGAGGAGGTCTCACTTCAACTGCACCGCAAAGCGCTTTGAACGCGAGAGGAGCGTGATTGCGCGCCTGTGAGTTCGTTGATCTCACAGGTGCATAGAAACGCAGGAGGCGCCCACGAAAAGCACGGTAGAATTTCCGTCCCGTCTTTTCTACCTGGTCCTGGTAGGACGTCCAGTTCGAGCCCGACGCGACGCGTTCCGGTAGGTCGGTGACGCCGAGAACCGGACCGGCTGCAAAAACGATTACGTTTCGAGAAGAACGAGAGAGGGAGTAAGAGAGAACGGCCGGCCGAGGCTTACCGGCAGGTCCCGGGCCGTAAAGATGCCTGGATGCATCGCCGAATATGGCCGAAAACACCTAAGTGCCCGGTAACAAGTCGCCGTACGCAACGTAGGCGCGAAAATTATTAGACCGGGGTCGATTATTTCGAGAGTTTATTCATCGGAAAAATTTCATATCTCTTCGGGATGGCATTTTGAAAAAGTCTAAAATACGCCGAAGCAATTGGGGGCTCCCTCCGTAATTAATTAAGTCCTGGAATGTTAAGGAAAAATGCAAAGCGGCCACACATGTTGTAGAGAAAATTGCACGGTAATTTTGATTTATATTAAATAGACGCAGAAGAATATTTACAGGGAACCGATTACACGGAAAGGAAGAATTAGCTTCTACGGCTAAAAAAACTAGTTCCCACGGGTAAAAGTTAGATGTAGTACAACTGAAATTTACAATTAATTTCGCTAATTTTGTTCGTCCCTGTACCTAGTTTTTAGCTCCCACGGTTAAAAATTAAGTCGGCGCGGAGCATTGGTGCAATACGTGGAGATAGCTTGGGTATTTTAAGGACTTCAAGACTTGACCGTTGACAAGAGGAAGCGGACAATGCGGGATTGCCGATCTTAGTCTAACAGTTTTCACAGGAGCGTATAAAGTAATTAGACCGATCGTCGCGACGGCGAGGGCGGCTTTTAGCGTCCTCGTAGACGTTAGACCACTTCGCACTCGCGAGCACGGGTAATTAACGATGCTTGGGCTCATGTACTTTCATAAAGTCCGGAACTTTCTAATGTGCCCGGCAAGTATCGCTGTTTAAGCGTAACGAGGCTACATTGCTGTAACGCGCGCGAGAATATCTTTATTCGTCTTTCGGAATTAAAACGGTCATATCGAATCAGAGAAACTCACGGTGGCGCGAATCTTTTCGCGCTGAAAACCCCGAGGAACGATAAATGTGCCTTTTACCTCTTCCAGATATCGCCATTGCTACTTGCCCGTTCAACCGAGGAGCGTCCTAGTCGCATCCTGATATAAATTAATTTACATATCACTTCGCATAAAACTGAACGATCGACTCGGATCGTTCAAAAATCGTTTCTTTCTGTTCGTTGGTGTACTTATTTCTTCTTTTTTCTTCTTTTTTTTCATTTCCCGTGACTCACTATAAATCTGTGCTGAACGAAAAGAAGGAAGTGCAGATCGTTTTCCACTGGCACTTTCCCGCCTGGTATTTCCGCGAGGACGATAGCTGCGGCGATACGGAGATCGCTCGCCAGGATAAAGTATCCTCCGGGGATGTGTGCAAACGTCGTTGAATGAACACCCTCTTCGCGTTCCCAGCCCTTCGTACGCGCAACGGCTTTACGCCACGTTCGGCCGAACGACTTTCCTTTAAATCGGCGGGACGGTTTACGTGCCTTAGGTTGACATTTACAGTGAAATCCCGAGAAGCAAGCGCAGCTGGTTACCATTCGCTCAATGATGCCTTAAGGATCTACGGTACCGTGGCTGGAACCTGTTTCTCTTGTTCCTGGTTGCTCGCTATATTTATACGCATTTGCGCGCGCCTATACACGCATACACGCGTATCGTCGTCGTACAAATTGAATCGCAACTAATTATGAATTATTGCCGATGTGTCGTGCGTGCGAGCGCGCGTGCGAGAATTTCGCACCGCGGCTCGAAAATGTATTTCCCTTTTAACATACGCGCGATCGCGCCGTAAGAAAGTTACGCACCGCAAAATCTTCGCCGCCTACATTTCTATCTCGCGTTGAGATTAAGTGGAGAGACTGGAAATAAGTGCTGCAAGTAATATTTGCTTGATTCAAACGAACAAAAAATTTAGAAGCAGAAATATAATTGACTATACATAATATTTTCTCTTTGTGATAGACATTTACTTGTGTGTGCTAAAAGAATTTCGACAGGTGTTAAATTCATAATATCGGGAATATCGGGATTTATATTTTTAGAAATTATTTACTCCGGGCAGAAAAATCGAAATTTAAAGCCGCTAGATTTCTTCAATGGAAAAGAAGTATTACATAATTGTAGTAAATACTCCCTTAAATTTAGAACCATTTTACACTTATGTTCAATAATTCATTTTCAAATTGAGAGATTACTGCGTTTAAATAAGTATTTATTATAAGTTATTAAAATATACTTAAATTGATAAAAATGTCACTACGATTTAAGGGACAGAAAAAAGGTAATTATATTTACTTGACTCTAGCACTTTTTTTTTCTGCGCAAACACATCAATCTAATTTTGAGGTATCCAGCTCTTTGGAAAAATTATGCATATCTATGCGATGCATAGAACATTTTAAAAGAATGAAGCACAGATAAATTGCTCCCCTTGTATTTTGCAACTATTCAGGTAATTCAATTTCAAGTCTCAGGTTGCCCGCGAAATTTTTTTCTCCCTTTTTATTTCTATATCCCGTAAAATATATGGTACGTACGCAAATATAATATAAATGTATTATAATCGAACTCGTGTCGATGTGAGATATTAAATTAATATGAGATATTAATTTAATAATTGTGAAATTAATTAAACGAAACAATTGATATCGGCGTGATGGGAAAGTAGCATCACGCCTACAGTCGCCCGCATTCGGACGACGAGAGTATTCTCGTCCTCCCGGCTGGATTTCATAGCGCGACTTCGCCGGGCGGGTAAGTTAGCCCGGCAACAACGAAATCAGAAGTGACTTCCATCTCGCCTTTTACGATCCGGTCTCTCTTTCTCTCTCTCTCTCTCTCCCTCTCGCCGGGGCGTGGGCACATCGCGGGGGCCGTTTGGGAAACTGCCCGGTGCAACGCACGCATTTTAATACACGGAGATTCACACGTGGCGGGCCTTCGACTTCCTGCCGGCGAGTCGCACGATATAACGCAAGCCGGATACGGAGCCGCATAATTGCATGTTCGGTGCGGTGTTTCAGCCGCGTTAAAATCTTTATCATACGACGCGTTAACCCTTAAGGTCGCGCTCCCTCGCGCGCGCGTCGCGGAAGTGTGAAATTAGTTCTATGCGAGAGGGACAAAATTGTTCCACATGATTGCGATGGGAAAACAAGCATACATAATGCTTAACACGCTGTATTAATTTCGTGATTGTCTCGGTTCTGAATGTCGAGTTTTGAAATCTCATTGAAATCGGCAAATCGAGCTACATAATCGTGGGGAAAAAAAAAGAAAAAAATATGTCCCATGCGAGAAGGAAGGAGTGTTTACCAATATATATCGGTTATACATACATTTATTTGCTTTTTGTTTTGCTCAGCTAAAGATTACTACATACGTTTAAATAAGTCATGCTCTATGAACACAGTGCGATATGAGTATAATAAATATCATCGATTTTATCATTAAAGGGAACATCTGAAATAATATCTCAAATTTTTCGTAAATTTTCATTGATTTCCATCAAGCGACAGTGGTGGACAGCTTTGCGAGTTATCCAGATGAAACATACAATGACGTCAAAATGACGTCCGAATGATGACAAAATGTTCGAAAAGTGAAAGTTCTTATAGTCATTTTCTCGCCAATTTGACGTCATCGTCATCATCGTTATGTTCTACCTGGGCATGAAAGATATTTCCATCTGACCTCTCAATAGTATTCAACTAAATATACAAATAAATTTACAACGAGCAGATTCCTTCGGTCGCGCTTTTTCGATTTCTGTTGCAAAATTGCCCTAAGTGGGAATACTTATTTCTAACGAACTATGTGTTACTTAATATTGATATCCACCATTACCACCGTTTTGTCTATTATTCCCGACGTTATCGTTGCCTCCTTTAAATGTATCACCGATATTATTGCTAAGAGCATTAGAGAAGTATCCACCGTTATCGCCGCTCAAACCACCATTATTATCTCGACCAAAGGACTGCCCTCCTCCTGGAAATATAAAGCGATTAAGACATCTACCCAATAAAATATAGTATATATATATATATATATATATATATATATATATAGTGACTATAATTATTTCGCTCAAAGAAGAAGAATTATATTAAATCTGATATATGAGATCAACTGGAATTGAGCATTTGGACATGAAGTCATTAGAAATCGATCATTAGAACTCAGGACTCAATAAACACGATTCGAACGATCCATCACGTCGATTTTTTGCGCGCATTTAAACGTTTTTCAAGACATTCCACAAGATTCGTTATTTATCATTCCGCGTCATTCCAACTCAATCAAGGCCGTAATTTTATCGCACCTGATCTTCCCGATTGATAACCGTTGCCGCCTCCGCCGTTAAATCCGCCGGGCTTTCCCTCGGCTGGACCACCGTTTGGATAACCACCATTACCGCTTCTATTACCTCCGTTAAATCCAGAATTATCCGCAAAGCCGCCGCCTTCGTTATCCGGTCTACCAGAAGAATAACCGTCGTTACCATTCGACCCGCCGCCGTATCCGCCGGTATTCGCTTCGCCCTCGTATCTAATTTGCGGTTTAAATCCATCCTGATCAGCTTCGTACTCGACGATCTGCTTCCTACCGTCGGGAAGCAAAACGTTGAACTCGCCCTGGGCACGGTCGCCGTCTCTAGTTTCCGTGTGGCCGTAATCACTGCCGGATTGCTCGTCCTTCACCTCGTACGAAAATTCGTACTTCGCTGGCTCCTAGAAATAAGACAGAATAGGCTTCGTGAATGCACCTTTTACATTTCATCGTTTTCGACAACCGTGTCCTCAGCCGATTGTTAGTCTCATACTTACGGTACTCCCTTCCTGCGCGTTACCGTTGTAACCACCGCCTGCGCCGTTTCCACCACCACCACCACCGCCGTTTCCGAAACTGCCTGTGTTTCCACTCGGACCTCCGGACGAATAACCGTTGGTACCACCATTCGGTCCTCCGGATGGATAACCGTTAGCCCCGCCGTTACCGTTTGCACTTCCAGATGGATAGCCGTTATTGTTACCGTTTCCACCTCGGTTCGGTGCACCGTAACCACCGGACAATCCTCCTCCGCCGAATCCATTTACTCCGTTCGTCCTGTGCCCGTTCCCACCCCCCGGTGGTCCGTAGCCGTTCGACGGTCCTCCGCCGTTATTACCGCCGCCGCCGAAGTGATGTTTGCCGTTCCCGTTTCCATTGACGACATTATTCCCGCTCGCACCGGGTTCGCCATAGCTGGCCGACGGTCTTCCTCCGTTACCTCCGTTTCCGAAACCACCTCCGTTATCTTTGTTCGCGCCAGGAACACCGTAACTAGTCGACGGTCTTCCTCCGTTACCTCCGTTCCCAAAACCACCCCCGTTGTTCCCATTCGCGCCTGGAACGCCGTAACTAGTCGACGGTCCGCCTCCGTTGCCACCGTTTCCAAAACCACCCCCGTTGTTCCCATTCGCACCGGGAACTCCGTAACTAGTCGATGGTCTCCTCCCGTTGCCACCATTTCCAAAACCACCCCCATTATTCCTGTTTGCGCCTGGAACGCCGTAACTGGTTGATGGCCTTCCTCCGTTGCCTCCGTTTCCAAAACCACCCCCGTTGTTCCCATTCGCGCCTGGAACGCCGTAACTAGTCGACGGTCTGCCTCCGTTGCCGCCGTTTCCAAAACCACCCCCGTTGTTCCCATTCGCGCCTGGAACGCCGTAACTAGTCGACGGTCCGCCTCCGTTGCCGCCGTTTCCAAAATCACCCCCGTTATTTCCGTTCGCGTCAGGAACGCCGTAGGTGCTCGACAGTGGTCTCCCAGCGCCATTGGGGACGCCGTACGAGCTGGAGGGTGGACCAATCCCAAATCCGTTTCCTTGAGACCCGCCTAGGCTATTTCCAACGGCGTTTCCCCCGACGGGCGAGTCGTAAAGCTTCGACGGGCCATTACCTGCGCTACCGTGTCCGTTGATACTTGTTGCGCCAGCGTTTCTATTAATACCACCCCCGTTACCGAAACCTGGCGCTCCGTATTGCGCCGACAGGTCGGCCTGACCGCCGTTAGCACCGGAGGTTCCTGTCCTCGGAGATAGGTAAGAGTTGACCGGCGGCTCCGAACGCGCCACAGCCAGCGTCATGATGAACGTCGTTACCGCGATCTGTGCAGTAAAAATTCGAATGCAGCCCGCTTAGAAAAACCGAGAAATTCCGTGAGATTTTCGGACGCTTCGCATTCGATCGTCGAATTGCGCGATCAGGACGTCGCCCGCGCTGCTGAAGCCTTTCCAACGCCCGAAGAAATATTCGCCGGGAATTTCTGTTATTCTTGAATTCTCACGTTGCTGAATTTACGGTTTTCTCGATTTGCAACGGAATTCTGCTAACGAACAATTAAATCGCAATATGTCGCGCGCAGGTTCTCGTGACATCCCTCGTCGACTGCAAATTTGATTGGAAAAATTTAATTTTCTAGAAACAAATCCGCCCGTGAAGAAACTTTAAATAGACGTCCGAAATTTTTGTATAAAGATAGATATATAAATAATATGAAGTCTTTATATATCTATCTTTATACAATTAAAGAGAAAGAGAGAGAGAGAGAGAGAAAATGGACGTCAGAAATAGATATCCGTCAATTTTAAATCGCAATATGATTAACTGACAAATTACAATTAAATTTCAATATCGAATTTCGAAAATTTCAAAAAGGGAAATATAGATCATAACAAACATGTCCAAAGGCATGTTCTGTATCATCGATTCCGAGTTTCCCACAGGCTGGATACACGCGTTTTCCCTACCTTGAACATATCGGCTCCGTTCTGCTCTCACCGGCGACGATAGAAACGAATTTCCGCAACTCTGTCCCTGCGAGGGAGACTCTCTCTCTCTCCCTGCTGCCTCTCCTTTTCCCGGTGCCACCCTTCCAGCGTTGGATGGTCTCGAGGGAATGACAAACACGGGGTCCGCTCCGCTTTATATATCCCGGGACTCATCCGCGTTTCTAGATCATAGTTTGGTGCAATCGGCAAGATTTACAGCAACGTTCGATGCAAGTGTGTCACGAGATGCTTCTTGCGCGGGATCGACGGCGACGATGGAAAAGAGCGCCGGATCGGCGTGTGTGAGCGCGCTCGCGAGAGAGCAGATTCGCGCTCTATATCTCACCGATCACGAGAGTGCCGCATTCGCGCCGCCAATCGTTAACTCGTAATCATCCCGTGCGCCTCTAAATTGTCTCGCGGACAAGCCTTTGACGTTCCTCGATAAATATCACTCCGCACTGTATCGCCGTATACACGAATGGAAAATATAATAATCTCTCTATTGGTTGAATTTGGCTCAACGGCAGGAAGTACTTTCGTGGGTTTCAGAAGATGCGCACGAAATCGAAAGGAAATCGCGTACGAGAATAACTACTGAGAATAAGTGAGAAATGTAATGGCCAATTAGAAGTGGAAGGCGACAATTTAACCTAACAGCGGGATAAATAATTGCACAATGGGACGACACATGATGCGAACGGGCGTCTTTCGCTAATGTAATCGGCCTGAATCATTAGACTTTCTTACTTTGTAATACAGATATAAAATTGAGACGCGTGACGTAACGCGTCACGCTTAATTGATTCCGGTGCGGAGCACCGACGGTAACGCCGATTGCCCAATTAATTTGATAAACGTACTCTCCGTGCACAGTAGGCTCGCGAGAGGCACGCTCTGCTGTCGCGTCGACGCGTTAAAATGCCGATGATGTGCACGAAATGTATGTCTTCCAATTATAAAAAGCCTAAACGCGCCGGCTTCAACCGCGCGTAGAACTGACGAAGCGGTGGCTGATGCAACGTTCCCGTGATGCAAACTTGCATAACGTGTATCTCCGTCTCTCATCCAGCGTTACCGCGTACGTTGCCACCACCTGCATTCGAATGCTACGATTGCACAAATTTTCCCCGGACAGGACAGGATGTGTGCACGTGCACAGGTACCGCGTGTACGCGCGCGCGCACACGTTTGCGTGTGGAAACGTCAAAAAAAGCGAACAGGATCGCGCAGCTAAAGCGTTTAATTAGTGTCCTGACTAGTGTCTCGATGTTGATCAATTTCACTTTACTTCAGTTCAATTAATTCCGTCAGGACTGGACGTCGAGGACACACGGAGGAAAGTATTGTTGTACCGCGAAGAAAAGCAATTATTCAGTTTATCTTTTTTTCTTTTGAATAAGGATTATCTGGAGTAAAGGATACTTCTTCTTGATTATAGTATTAAAATATGCTCGTCACATATATTAGAAAAACTCGTTGTAATATGCTCGAAAAAAGCGTTTGTCCTCTTTTCAAGAATATTTTATCAAAGAAAAATTAAATTCAGTTAATTAGGATATATATAAGTAAGCCGAAGTTTCAGTATTTTAATTTATTATTCTTCATTAGAAGACTAAACTTTTTCTTTACATTAACATCTCCACATTTTCCGGATTTTTTCGAGCGATTTGAGGAAAGCAGTTTTTTAAAGAACTATTTTGGTTTTATTTTGCTTCGATTGAGGTCAAATGGAAACTATTTTCTGCAACGAGATAAATTCCTTCATCCGTTCGCTCACACACATACACACATGCGTGCGTGCGCTCTCACATATACACGCGATCCTTCGATAACACTTTATGTTGAGCAGACACGACGGACGCAATCCGCTTGTGTGAATACACGTCGAGAGAGAAGATGTTTTGTATGGAACACGATTCCTCCTCTAGATACATATCTCGGGGTATGGGCTTTGTGTCACCTGTGTAAATGAGAACACGTACCCGCTCTATACGGTATACAAATTTCTACGCTACGTCCCGATCGTCATCAATTACCCGCGTGATCTACAATGCTAATGAATTCTCACGCTAAATTTTAATTAATCCATTCTAGGCCCCCGCGAGTGCAAGGAAAAAGAATTACCCACTTACGTTTTTCAATCACTCATCAGTCGCACAACCGGTGGATACCCTATTTTAAATGTTAACGTCTACGTATCCTGTGATTCTGAAACAACGTGTATCTCGCTCAGTTATATCTACAGAAAATGGGTAATAAGCGATTCTACGGATTCTCAACTTTGAAACACAATCACGCGCGTCATGACATGTGTCAACCGGTCGTCTTTTTCGCATTCGAAGCGAGTGAATGTTGTAATGTCACGTCCGACGTACAACATGATAACAGAGCACATAAAAAATTCACCTGAGAACATTTACGGGCATTGTTTCAAGAGAAATGTGATGGCGCACGTAATGCGCCAACGCGCCCGCTTGCGCTCGTCGACTCGCGACCGGTCAAGTATTGCTTCCTATTTGTTATCTTGTTTTTTATATATTTATCTAATGAATATAATCCTCCCTCCCTAATAATAGGTTGTGTGTCTTGATCACATTTCTGTCGTACCGATGAAACGTACTTTAATGTTTGATGTGCATTCGAAAAGAGATGCAGATGCACTCTAGCGCATCCTTGCGTTGCATCGCGCGCAGCCTCGCGCGCTAGGATGTATGCGAAAGTCCAAGTTGCTCATACATAATTCACAGGGCGTATGTTTGATCCATGTGTCCAGGATATTAAAAGTTATCGTCACCGTGGAATAAGTCGAAGATACATGCGAATACGTAGAATTCATTTATCGTTGAATATATTCCACTGCAATGCAGCGCAAATACACCGTATCTATAAATATATATATGGAAATTGAGTTTCAAAGTTTGCGGCGCAAAAAGTTTTTCCTCTTTTCGGCTAATCTTCCTGCACTGGTACGAGAAACTCTATAAGCGTGTAATATTTCTAGAATTCGACATTCACGACATTCATTAGAAAATCAATAGAAAATTTAAAGGTACTTCTTTAAAACACACTTATTTGGTTCTTAACTAAAATAAATGTTTGATATAAAAACTTAATTGAAAGATGATGAGGTCGGAAATCAAGCGGTTATTATATTATGTCAACTCGCTATATCTTGGCAAAAAACGACGGCAAAATGACGACATTGATATATTTAAGAATTAGAAACTTCAATCTGCAAAATGCTTCTAGAACCATCTCAATAGTCATTTTTGTTAACGTTACAGTTCGTTGAATTTTCCTTATTTTATTTCAAAAGGTCCGTCTAACTCAATGTATGTCGCATGAGGATCTTTTTAAGGAAGGTGGCGGCTCGTAGCGGAAACTTCGGAATTAATAAAAATAACGAGTCTAACAACCGTAACAGGTCTAAAGTGTCATGAGGAGCATAACTAAAACTCGAACTTTTTTTTTTAGACAAGATTCAAACCTTTTCCACGGAACAAGCTTTTGCCCGGCACCAATAGATAGCGCCAGGAGCACCGTTAATCTGAATTTAAAATAACGGGTCTACAATGAGAATTTAACCCATTAACTGCCAAATTTTTTTTTTGAAATTTTTAGCCGGATATGCACAAAAAGTTGTGTAACAGTATAATTATATTCAAATTATAAAATTCCAAAATCTCCAAATGGGGATCGTGGCAGCTAATGGGTTAAGCTTTAAGCTTTAATGGCGTCTTATGGGCAGAAGCTATTATGGGAGCGCTTACAGCGCGTGAGCGTCTAAAGAGAACGCACTCTTAAGGTTGTTCTACATTAGTTGCTAGTCGATTGCAGCTCTTATTGCGACAGCCAATCAGAAAACGTCAATGATGCTACTGACGCTTCTGATTGGCTATTGCAACAAGAGCTGCGTCGACTTGCAGTCGGCTTGCAACTGATGTAAAACTATCTTTAATTTCCCGATCCCGGTGCACTGGAAATGCTCGTGTTTTTTCTTGTGTTTTCTTATGAAATTGTTGTGGTTTTTAAGATTTAAAACCTCGTTTTTGATGGTTTGTCATAGATTTTTTATCTCCTAATGGAGGGTGGTCCAGGAAGGCAAGGTTGTTTTTGATGGTTTTCTCGTGTTTTTTTTTGGTTATTTTTAAGAGTTTAGAACTTAGTTTTTGATAGTTTTGTCCTGTTTTTTAATCCCCCAATTTCGAGTACGCTAAAAATTTCTATAACAATTTTCAATCTCTCCGTTTGAAAACATGCTGTTTTTTTCGTGGTGAAAGATAGTGTTTTTGATGGTTTTTAGGTGTTTTTCTTATCTCTCAAGCAAAGTGCGTCAGAAGTAACATTTTGTACTCTACCAAGATTGTACATCGCAGTGAAAATTTTCTGGTCGTCAATAAACCGTACGATATGTATATAAATAGTAACAACCCGGACAGAAAGGTGAATAAAGCGTTAATATGCTGAACTTAAGACATAAGATATCTGTGTAAACTAGATAATGTATCTTCAGAATACTCTCCAATTGGAATTAAAAAAGATGCTACCAGACTTGGTTAATCCAAAATTGTGCCACGAATTCCACTTCGTGCATCGGCTGGATTACCCTACGAGCGGTGTCATTTGTATAGCACTGAATAAGAAAGCAGCCAGAGCGGCGTCAGTTGCCTTTGAAAATCACAAAGTTCAAAAGTTCTACTTGGCATTGGTGCATGGCCATATACATGAGCCTCATATCATAATCGATAAAGCTATAGGTTAGGCAATTGTGTATAAAATTGGGATAGAATAAATCTAGATTCCACAGACTTGGATCTCTGTTTGTCTTTCGACCAGGTGACGATATTCGAGAGAAGAATGGTAATCATAAGATGTGTACAAACGACAGTATCTTCTGTGAGAAGCCACGTAGGGCCATTACTGTGCTAGTAGTGTTGGAGCATGGTTTTTGGAAAAGCAAGCCTGCTACCAAAATATTGTTGGCGCCTAGCACCGGTAGACGACACCAGTTAAGGGTGCATTGCCATCATATAGGTCATACTGTCATAGGAGACTATACTTACAGCGAAGGCAAAGATGTAGAGCCACAGAGAACCTACCTCCATTCTCTCAGGTATAATTTACACAAAGATTCCTCTTCTTAGCTAAAAGAAGCTCAAGTAACAAATAAATATACACACACATAGAGATTCTCAGCTTTCTGATCCTTGCTACTAATGTGCGCTGTGTAATCTTCAGGTTGATATTGAACTGTGATATTGAGAATATCGATGTAAGAACGGCAGATCCGTTTGACGCCTCTATTTTGTCCGATTATAAGGCGACGAATATAGCAAAGATCTTGGATGAGGATATATTTCGTGACATATATAAATTAATAGAATAAAACGTTTCGTTACGTAAAGCACCGTGGAGGTTTATTTAATTACCCTGACTCCAGATCCACTAACTTCGAAATTAAAGATAATCCTTGGCAAGTGTGAGGCTAACATTATGCAAGCATATCGTGTGGAGACTCTTCTGTAGAAGCGTATAGAGGAGGTAATCATGCTCGACCACGTGAGTCCCAGAGCTGGCTGTTCATCCACGTCATCGGAAATAATATTTCTATCTATAACTGCCGAGACCTACAAATATATGAGAATGAATACACGATACGTGTATTAATCCACCTTGTTACAGCGTAATAATTATACTTCCTCACCTGATTAAGACAGATCACACACAGGTCACTATTTTTACATAATTCATGCAACTGTCTTCCAACTTTCCTTAAACTTTTGCCTCGTGACGGGTCCTCCCAATCCTCCACTCTGTAAGGAGCAGCTATTGAATCAACTATTAGCAATCCTATTTTATGAGCATTCATCAGTGCTGGGACCTTGTGGTGCAAGCAATATTCCAATTCATCCTTTAACACATTTAATACAAAAAAGTTAACAATACAATTTCTTTGTAATTACGTTCTTCGTGTAATTTGTCATAAAGATCGGTAACTATTTTTTTTTTAAAGATCATTGTAACATCATAAATCACAATAGTTTAAAATATATTATATATTTATATATTATATAAAACTATGGTAATTACAATAGTAGATGTATGGTCCACGAATATGACATCTCCACTCACGGAATGAGTTTTAGCTATCTCGGAGTTCTCTATCAACTGTTGCAACCGTCTCGATGGAAAAGTAGCTTCCGTGCAAATGTATATGGCACCTATCAACAACAATAATTCCATATATCTTATTATATTTCATTTCTCCTTTAATTTAAGAGCATTTATGTCAGATCGGAGATTTCGGAAGTATTACGTCGAATAGTTGCATCGAAAAATTTCTTTCAACTGCTATTGAACACGTTGCATATAAATTCGCATACTATCGTCTCACAATAACACATTTTTACCAGCTTCGAGACCGCCCGCGCTCACCGGCGATTGGACGGTAAGGCACAACTGCAAGGCCAATTGCGTTTTTCCGGTACCGGCCGCGCCGTAAAACTGCGTGACGCCGCGACAAGGTATGCCGCCTTTCAATATTGCGTCCAAGTTTGAACAACCGGTCGTGAGAAATCTCTCCCGTTTTCCGACAGCTTCCGTCACTATTGACATAATTCGCGTAGAGAAGAACAATCGGTTACAATCATACGTGTAAATTGATACACACAGAAACTCATACGATTCAATACTCAGAAATAAAGATTTCTTTTCTCAAAGCAATACCTAGCAAATGTTCCATTTCATATTTTATTGTTCGATACGTTCGACGTATCGCGCTGGTATGTTGACTGGCGGTTATATTATTTGGCAGTTCGGACAACCGGTCTTTCAGTTCGACATGTTTCCGTACATCTTCGGTAGATTGAACATTAGATGGTATTCGTGACTTTTTTTTATGGCTCTCATGGCGCCATCTTTCTCTCGTGAAGGAAAATGTACTTCCGCATTCCCTTTATGAAGGGGTTAATGACCAAGAGAAACATCAACAAAAAAAATGGTTGACGATATATATATATATATTTTTATACATAATAAAAGCCAAATCTCGCTCGAACATTGTTAAATATCCGTGTCATATGATTCCTTTTTTGTATTTCTCTTGATATTTCTTTGTACAAACATTCACTTGATCTTCTTTGTTTTACGTTTCTTCACGTGCTTCTTCATTTTAGTCTTTCTCTTCTCCGCTTGCTGTTCCTTGACTGCTTTCTTGCGCGCCTAAAGATGGAAACTTGCATCAATTTACTGCGCACACATTATTATTAATGGTATGTAGAGGAGAGAAACAAGGGACGCCTTACTTTTTTACTTTCTGGACTCTCGTCTTTGCGTCTGACGATATTCGTCGATTTCCTCACATTCTCATTCTTATCCTCCTCCTCCTCGCTGTCGTCTTCGCTGCTCCCACTGTCATCGCTGTTTTCTGTATCACTGTCCTCGTTCTTGCATTGTTTAGCGACAAGGATCTCTGGTATTTCCGCAGGCTTGGATAAATCTGTTTTCAAACCGATCAGTGTCTTGTAAATCAGATCTTCCTTGCCAGATTTCGCGAGATTTATATCGCGCTCAAAGTCGATCACCTGCGGGAGGATCCGATTTAAGAAGTTTGTACACAATTCCAACACAAATTTGGCTTGTTTCCACGTGGAGATTATGCATCTCTAATAATACATCGCAATGATCAACGAGACCTGAATCAACGATTGAGGGATATAAGCCTGTTTAAAGACTTGCTCCTCCACTTGGTCCCGAAGATTGCTCTCCAGATCTGCTTTCCGCTTCTTGTTTTCGTGCACCGCATCCAGATACTCATCCATATTATTTTCGTTTATAGTCGGATCCGTTATGAAGTCAAATAGCTCTTTCATCGTCAGAACGGCCACATTGTGCTTCTTGAAAAATTCTAACCAAAATAATGCAAGCGAGTCGGATATATACATATGCAGTCTCTCACAGAGGTCGGTGCTGTAACAGATATATTTTTTGAAGTAACTAGACTATACGGATGCTGAAAAGAGAAATCTAAAGATACAGATATAAGTTTTTGAGGTAAATAACTATATACATATATTATGAAAATACATCCAGATATACTTCATGAAGTACATCTTCTCACAGTATACGTATCTACATCTAACTTACCTCAAACTTATATCTGTATCTACTTACATTTCATTATCTGTATCTGATCAGAAAATATATATCTGTTGTAACACCGGCCATCGTCACATTATATATATAAATCAAATTGCTCAGAGGATGCTTCCTTGTGCCACGGTACCTGTGATATTAGTACAGTCCTTTCTGAGGAACTCGAGCGCCATGGGGTGATCATGCTCCACAGATTGCGAGACATCGATGATCACCAGCGACCCGTTGTGGTACAGTATATTGTACTCGCTCAGGTCGGCGTGAACGAGCCTGCACCTGTTGTACATCCTCCACATCATTTCGATGCACTCGCGATAGAGCGTCGCCGGCTTCGAGGCGGTGAGTACCACGTCCTTCAGTTTCGGCGCCGCCCAGCCGTCCACACCGATGAAGTCCATCAGTAGCACGTGGCTGCGCAACAGGATCGGCTTGGGCGAGCTCACACCGGCCTGTTGCAGACGCACCAGGTTCCGCATCTCCTTCTCCGCCCAGGTCCGCACCATTTTCCGCGGATTGCGCTTGGAGTAGCCGTGACGGAAGCGGAACTCACCGTTCACGTACTTGTCGCGATCCTTGAACTGCAAGATCGACGTCTTGTATATCTTGATGGCGACCTCGGTGCCCGTCGCCGACAACGCGTAATACACATTAGCCTCCTTCCCCGTGGAAATGCAGCCGTCTATCCTCGCTATCAATCCTTTATTCAGAATCTTGAACAGTATCATCTTCGTACGGGCGTCCAATACCTGCTCGACCGTCGCCCGGTCCTGCTTGTCCTTCGTTCTCACGCGATCCCTCTCGGCGCGTTTGTTGTTCTCCATCAATACGTTCGCCACGTGATTCGGCAACGCGGGGCCCTCGTACTTCTCCATATTGATCTTATCCGCGTAACGGCGCAGCAGTTTATCCATCGGCTGGTAATTCGCGACCTTGCTGGACACGTTTCGATTATTGGCGCTCTGTGAATTCGTCCTGACGACGGTGTTCCCCCGAGTGTTATCCTCGTCCCAATCGTAATGATCGTCATCGATGTCACTCTCGTCGTGGACGTCATCCTCGCTGTCCGTGATTTGCAACTTGGTCATCTCCTCCTTGAGATGTAAAATCGGGCATGACATGGCTATTGAACTAAAGAACATACTGGAATGAGCACTGGAACGATGGGGGCCTGTCAGAAAAGCTGTGCGACAAAGGTCACGTCTAAATAATGTCTCGCTTTGAAAAACGTAGTCTGCAACGGGCAGGAATATATTTGCAAGAAGAGTAAGAAATTAACCAATCACAGTCGATTATTCTACCTTACATTCGACTATGATCGGTTAAATTTCTCCTTGCAAAGATACTCCTGCTGCCCATTGTAGATCACGTTTGAAACACCTTGTATGAAACTTACTCGCAAGTCGTTTCTTCGTCGGCGTCGCTAAACTGACCCTCCTCGAATTGTCCCTCCTCCATGATTGCGTATCTGTTGCGTGTAATAACTCATTAGATAATTTCACGGTATTGTCCTTCAACAGCGTCTGCTATAGTATAATTTTGTGCCGCAATATGATGAAAACCTCATCACCACGCGATTCGAAGCGTGTCATCAAACACTCGTGCAAAACGCGGACTAGACGACTTTTCAGTGCCACCTACAATTTTAAGTTCAATTTGTAACGGACCACCGGTGGACTGTTGCATCGGCGTTTGTTCGTCTACTGTTGCATCGTGTTCTGTGACTTAAGCGCCGACGACCGTTCTTTTGTTTACACCAACATTTAAATTATGCAATTACGTTGAGATGACAGAGAGTAAGTTTATTTGGGAATTTCTGTATTAACGATGTTCCCTAACATGTATTTATTACGACTTATTATAACACTGTATTAATGTATATGTTATCTATGGAATTAATTAATTACGTACAGTTGATTACACTTTTTAATACTTCACAAGTGTGAAGATAATTGAGTTTTCATTCAAATGACTAATTGGAAATTAAAATTCATTGTTATGGTTTTCGAATGCATAAGTAGCAAATTAAATGTAATATTTTTGGGACATATTTAATACATAATTAAATTTTTAACTAATATCTGATTTTTCATTAATATAAATTTTATGATTTTTCATTAATACAATTAATAATATTATTTTACACAGTATTATATAGATCTATACAAGTAGTTGGACAGGAAGAAAGATATCTAGAAATATCCACTTGGCACAGAGTGTTTCAATTTTATTACTTGGCTCTGTTATACAATTAAAACCAAATAATTTTATACATATAAACATAAGAAAGACTATCTGAATCCGTAGCTCAGCACAGATTTTAATTCTTATGCTTAAACAATAATTTACAGACGAGTATCTAACAACTCAAACTATCAACATTCAATCATGGAGGATATCATACGGTCTATGCAGGAATGCAATGCCATTCGTTACACATCTTATAGGACTGCCGTGAAGATGCAAATATTACACAGAGAACTGAACAGTAAGTTCTCTCTTACCCAATTTTGTTACCAAGCGATAGCCTGTTCTTCTCAATTGTTTTATTTTATTCAGTGCAACATGTACAGCTAGGATTAATAGCAGGAGTCTTTGAACGTCATAGACTGTCCATCACCGAAAACTGTGTTAATCTGGATCCAAGTGAAATCGAGGATGTTCTGTCCGATATATATTTCGCTGCGCAGAAAGAAAGTAATTTCAATTTCGACGTTGATCTTGCGACAAAACTTGCCACTAATTATATCTTGCGTACTTTTGACAAGTGAGTTCTCATCCCTTCTTCTACATTATATCAATAACATTTTCAATCTTACTGTGCTTTTAAAATATCTCTAATTTTGTAATTTCGGATTACTTTAATTAAAACACACGCAACAAGAGTATCTTGTAGCAACTGTAATGTGATAATGCCGATAATGCAAAAATGTATTTAACATTGCAGACAAAATACTAGAAATATCTTAGTGTTCTCAGTGAAAGTTGCGTTGGTATTGCTGAGCAACGGTAGGCTGCAAGAGAAGTACGGCTATCTGTATCAACAGTTAGCCGATCACAATGCATGTTTGTCCCGAGCTAGTTTGCATACATTGTTAACCAACATCTGCAAAATAACAGAGATGCTCGGAGAAAGCATAGCGTACGGGTATGAACAGATTCAGCTGCACATAGACGCCTGTTTCGTGAAGGTATGACAAAATTACTGTCGTTGTTGTCGTATATAAAAGAAGTGACCATTAAATTATCTTCATCATCCTGTATTTCAGTCTCAAGGTTGCCTCGGTGTCACCGAAGCAGAATTCGCCGCGTGGATCATGCAGGAACCACCTCTGTTGGTCTGGATAACGACGTTCAATCGAATCAAATCAGCAGAACACAGTAAGACAGTCGCGACGTCCAATTATTATCGCGTGTATCTAAATATGACGACGAACAATCGTTCCAGTTGTACACAACGTGAGATGTTCCTCGTGCAAGGTAACACCTGTGCAGGGACCGAGATACACGTGCTTGAAATGCACGGGGTACCATCAGTGCCAGGATTGTTTTCTCTTAGGCAAAACCTCAAACAAACACAAGCTGAAGCATCCGATTCGCGAGTATTGCGTGAAGGTTGGTCGCGAGGTTTCCGTGTCTTTTCATGTACGAAGTAAATTACGCTCTCACACAGAACGCGTTCTTTTTTCCAGACTTCACATCGCGAAGTTACCAAACTGATCATCGAGCTAATCAGAAACAAGCTAAGATTGTGTCCCACCAGAACAGTCGCGATAAACGCGGAGGATGTAGTCGCGGATGCTGTTAGGTTGTTGCCAGCTGTACTTTTGTACAATATTTTTACACATATTCGTACGATACACTAAAGATAACTGATGATTTTTATACAGTAACGAGACAAGACGGGCGGACTGTGGTTCATTGAGGAGCACGATCAGGCGAAAAATTCTCAGCGATCCACAGAAGGAATTACAAAGTATCATAACGCACTTGGAGGAGGAGAATCGGCAACTGCAGATCGAGCTGTTAGACATACGGGGCACCAAAGCAGAGAGGCTGCAACGGCACAGAGCGACCATCGAGTCTCAGTTGCAACGATTGAAAACGCTCAAGGTACATTAATCAGTCGAAGTTCGATCCTCGCCGCCCTCATCTGCTCTAGGATTTCATACAACCCACCTAATTATTTTCAGCAGTATTTATACTTTTTGCTACCTTTCGATAAAAATATTTATACATAAAAAATTCTTTATTTATATATTGGAAACTTTTGTCAATATAAGTAATTATAAGATGAGATCAGAAGCGACCCCAAGTGGGTGACGAGAGTTAAATACATACCCGTTAAACCCGTTTGACCTTCTTGCAGAAATACTTGTTCACCGACACGGCTCAAGCGCCGCAGATCATCACTCGCATGCAGAGCACTCCGATGCTGCCGCCCTTATCATCCAGACTCACAGCCTTGCCCTTGGAATTCGAGCTGAGCCCAATTATCAGGCAGGATAACGTTCAACAAGGGCTCAAGTTGCATCATAGGAAAAACAAAGCAACATCGAGCACCTTCAATACGTCGTTACCCATAGAGCGTACGGCGGAAGAGGATAACGCTAACGCTCTTCCCTGTATCGAGGAGGCCTCCACGAGTTCTGGATTTAACATGCCGGAGAGCAGTCGCATAGAATTAAGCACGTGGATCGGAGGCAAGTGTGGAGACGACGTGTCAACGGCGATTAAAAGCGCTCGTTCAAGTTGAAATCGTCGTGTTTGTGAACGTACTGTGTTTAATCCGCAGGCACAAGAATGGGGGAAATGAATCCGACTGATAGTGGTTTCTCTCAGTGGTTGGCCGCCGGCAACCCGACCTGCAAAGAGGACAACTATACGGCTAACACGGCGGTTAGCAGCACGGATAACGACTTGTCACTGGCGGCTTCTCAATCCCCCACCGGCATCCACAGGGACAATACTCCGTCCTCCTTGCAGCGTCCTGATAAACACTCGCAGCACAGTAGCTTGCAGAATATCCAAGGAGATCTTAATGATATTTTAGACAGACTGCAAAATATGGTCGCCAACGATTGCTTACTCGACGGTGAGTTATCACTTATTGTCACGCACGAGAGTAAAAACCCACAGAGGAGGTGTCACGTATAACAAAATATTGTATTCGCGGTAAACATTGTGCGCACACTTCTGACTGACGCTATTATCAATTGCAGAGTCATACGACGGCAATGACAATTGTAAATTAAAACGTGCTACCACGGAGATGGAAGATTTATTAACTGGCCTCATCGAAGGTATGGAATCTCGCAAAAGTAAACTTACTACAATTGTCTGAAGACTGCTTTAAATATAAATCTAGATAAATCTAGACGTCGTGACGTTTAGGAATCTTTAGGTCACATTTGATTTTTCTTTTACTTTCATCGCAATCGCAAGCACTTACTTTTTTCATCTTTTCGGCAAGCTTATTTCATTGACAGTGGCTTGTAAATATCCCATTTTACGATATTATGTAACATGTGTCCAAAGAAAGAAATGAATGTGATCTAATTATTGTGAACGATAACGGTTGATACGAAAATCGCCGATATATTATTACACGTCGATAATCAAATAGCTATACTTAGGACTAATTGCAAATTAGCTGCTCGAAAAATCAAATATTTTTATACGTTTTGTACGCGTATTTATGTAATATCTGTGCAATCACACGAGAGAAATAATCTGTTAAGATTTTTAAAAGATTTCGATAATGATTACGAGAAACTATGTTATAGCTATAGCGTATAGTTTCTAAAAGATTTCTCTATGACAGAGAGAAACGATGTGCATAAATTTTGTATACTTGCACGTCATTTTAAAGTTTAAAAATCAATTTATACTTGCGATAATTATAGGATAATTGTGTAATATTTACTTCAATTACGCTGCAATGCGAATAGTCATTTATCAGTTCCGTCCATTTTTTAAGTCTCTTGATGCACCGTCTGATTTTGCCTGTTTGCATTATCCACGCACTCTCTTACAAGACGCCATATTTCTACATCAAAGTACAATATACTTTATTTTCAGTAACATAAAAGTTTTACTTACGTACACTCGATCTTCTTGTCGCACATTCTTCCAATACATGTAAAAAGCGGCGGATTCCCCCGCCTCTGATTATACGTATATAAACGAATATCTTTTACATTCTACGTTAAAGAATAACATGCGTCGTTGATCGAATTTATAGGACCGACTAGATGATTGATTGTGACGTAATCTACGTACAAGAGAGTAGAACAATTTGTACGTGTGCAGTGTCAAGCATACAATGCGAAAAGTCTTTGTGGTTTAATACTGAGCGAATAACTTCGGATGTGTGTCACTACATATCCTTCTCTAAGTGCAACGTGTCGGTTAGATAAGTAACTTTAAGGAGCTTCGAGAAGTGCGTTTTTTCCGACGGCCGATTCACCGTCCATGCCATCACGCGGATATCGCGATCGAACCATTGCTCTATTACATGTCTAAAAAGAAACCAAATTAACATCGTAATTTCGTGTTATTCGCACGCTTGAAAGTGCATATACACGCACAATTATCACGAACGTAGGAGAAATTGTATAAGATAACGAGCAATCGATTAATGATGATGTCAACTTACGGATTTACTATGTCCTTGTGCAACAGCACGAGAGAGACGCCTACGATGTAATAGACAAAGCGCGGTAGCAGCCACTCGTATAAAGTGTCCAAGATGCAAGCTGCCAAATGCTTAAGCGGATTGTGAAAGCGTGGGGGGCCGAGCGCTTCCAGGCCGGCGTACGATGTTCTCGAGAAATAATACGGCCTCCAGCCGAGACACGCCGTGATGCGTGGCTCTTTCTTCCTGATCTACACGCATTCGCGTAAGAATATATATATATATTGCGTTCTCTCAGAAATGTATGAACTATTAATTGCCGTCATGGTACACACCATGTACAGGATGATCGGATTAAAAGACGTGATGAATCCTCTCCGGAACAATCTCGGATATTTCTTGTACGCATCCAGAACAACTTGTACAACTTCTATCCTCGACTCCTTCAGGTCTATGATTATTCTCAGCTCGTTGTCCAGGCAATGTTGCAATGCGTCGTACAACAGTGGAATCCTCTCCCCGTCGGAAAATTTGTCCCTTCAGCAAAGCAATTATTTCTTTTTGCATGAGGCTACTCCGATAACACGGCTTGGTATACCATATAAAGTACATTTCGCGTGAATTCGTATTTCGATGCTAGTCGAAATAATAACTACCTGAGAGGGTGATTATAACTTATGTCTAGATTTCCCAGTTCCTCCCATGTCATTTCGCTAATTGTTCCCGTTTGGCCCGTGACTCTTTCGGTCGTCGAATCATGGAACACTATTGGAATGTTGTCCTTCGTTAGTCTTAAATCAAGTTCCACAGCGGTGCAACCTTTCCTCTTGCTCTGTAAGTAAGCACATGTGGGAAATTAGAATATCTGTAAGGTCGACACGCATTAAATCAAACATTGTATAATAATATATAACTAACAGTACAGGAGAAATAATCGATAACTAAATATCAAACAAAGTGAAGTATTAATATTATTAATAAGTAGTACACATTAATTAGCTTGCTATCTCAGCTTTATATTATCAAGCAGCAGCGATGTTAAACAAGCCGATGACAAAACTGAGACACACACACACACACACACGCAAACATCTTAAAATACTATAGGTATCCTATTTTAAAGAGAATTTCCATTATGAAAAAATCTATCACAGTTTCCATACAACAGGATACAACAATGATCAACTTTCAGGAACTTTTGACACGTTTTAGAATGACCAAAGGTGAGAGCTGAAATATCGGTGAAAACATAATCAAGGAATGAAAGTGACTAATACTAGAGAGAAGGAGAGAGAGAGAGAGAGAGAGAGAGAGAGAGAAGTCAGCATTGAAATATATAATTTTACATTTTTGAAAGCTGACAAACTGTTTTCGGGATAATCGAATCCTCCACCACGGTGGGCCACCACTCGCATGCAGTATCGCTCTCCGTTACCATGGTTCTCGGGCATGGAGTTATCTTTTTCCAGGTGGAGCGGATTTATACCCAATATCTCCTGCACGATACCGGCAGCCGGGGGTGATACTCGCACCAGCTTGAGCGCGATCAGGACGATCAACGAGCCCCAAACGATCCAGGGGACGCTAAATTCATAGAGGACAGTGACCAGCACACTCAGCGTCGTTTGCAGGAATATCCATAGCAAAGCGCTGTTTACGATCAACTCGACGATCTCGTGCATTTCGCGATGTTAATTCTCTACTCCGGTCTAATTACGGTTATGGGCTTATTAAGGGGATTGCGTTTGCTGCTTATTATCAGCGTCTCGTCATGTGAGGGGGAAAAAAAGAGGGATCGGGCGAGTTACGGGTCACGCGGATTCGACTTTGTTCAGTCTTACTTGGATAAAATTATTACTTCATGAGTCAGCGATCGCAGCGGATCGTCGTGAGGTACGCGAGGGCGTGTAAGATCAACTCGCCGATTAATGACGCAGATATCCCGTCGGCTTTTCGCGCGGTGCACGTCATTCTTTTCGCTCGTCAGCCGTATATCAATCTGTCACGCGATACGTGATTGATCCGCGCGGGGGTTCTCACGCCACTGAAAACGACGACGGGGAGCCGTGAAATTTCCGATCGGTCGAACGTTTTAACGTGTCGCGAAAATCACGCCGACGGCACTCACGACGATAAATATACATATGCGCTATATATGTGCGTCTTAGAGCGCGTTCTAACTTTCCACCGCGAAAATCAAGGCAGTGGTGCGACTCAACGGCGGCGGGGCGGACCGTATTTTCGAGTAGCACGACTCAACGACAGATCGAACAGCGCATGGAATGTCACACAAGCGGTCCGTTCCTTTCAGCTTAACTGGCTGCACTGGTTCAAGAAATTTACATACACATCGACGCGTACATTTCTTTGAACGGGTAGTCACACTTCAGCCAAAAAGAACGGACCGATAGTTTTGGTATCGTATTTTTATCTCCCTTCGCAGTGTTTATTCTGAAAACGGTGCTCCTCGTTGAGAAGTATTGGTATAATTCCAGACGTATAAGTAAAATTGACTCTCTGAAGCGGTACTATTTTATTCTAAACGCACGGCACAGCAATTTTTCTTATTACCTGGCACCTGTAATCTACGTTTACCTGTCATAACATGGATAATGAAACCTTTCTGAGCGCGTGTGATTGCGCGATTGTTTATCGTTTGAACTTTCGTTTGACACCAGATCTGTTAATCACACAGAATTACGTTATATTTTTAGAGTCACATCCAAGTGATCGCCCGAATAAACAATAATGTTCAGGACAAACATTGCGACGTATGTGTCAACATGTCATGAAGCAAACGTCAAATAAATACTTTGGAACACTGGAATTTGCCGATTCTTAAATTAAAACTGTAAATAAAAAAAATATGGCGCATAGTAGTCAAAGCCAAGGAATAGGAGAGCCAATGGACTTTATGACGAAATACCACAATATCTCGAATAAGCTAAAAAAGTAAGAACGTTTACAAATATTTAAGTAATCGCAACTGAAAATCTGTACCGAAACAATTGATGGTATTTTATTAATCTTTCAGACGATTCTTGAGGAAACCGAATGTTGCAGAGGCGTGTGAGCAATTTAGTAAGTATTTAATTTTCATGACTGTTTGTAACAATCTTTTTTTAACCACATATAATAATATATATATAGTAATATATATACACATTTATATCATCTCTAATGATAACTTGATTCTTAATTACATCAGAAGAATAGAGCTTGTATCATAGATATATTTGTTTTAAGGTGCTTTAGCCACTGAATGTGAGCAGAAGGAATTATGGCAATACGCAGGATTGTGTTGGCTGGCAGCTGCTAGATGTCAAGGCACGTTAGAGAACATATCTTCTGAGATAAATCTGTTGATAAAAGCAGGAAGGCAATTTCTCATAGCTGAAAAGAAAGACAACGATATAGGATGTCCCTCCATAGGCCAAGAAAACATACAGGTTTTTGTATAACATACTCTCGCAGTAAAAGTCAAGTAAGAAGAAAGATCTAATATGACGTCTGAAATGTCCCAGGCTGCTGTAAGTTGCTTCAGTCATGCCATGATAAGGTGCAATAACCAACCAGGATTTAATACAATATCCGCGGGCTTATCGGTAGAGCTAGCATTGGCACTAGGCCCAAGTCCTGCTGGTATTCAACAGCTACGTAAAGCGATCGATATCTTTCCTACATCCAAGGCTATCAATACCTTAGCATCTTTCCACATAAGCCAAGGTTGGCGTTTTGTATCATTCTCATCATGCTTTACAAACAGTACACCTATATTTATACAGCCATTTTATATTGACTCTTAATATTCAGTGTTCTATACACACAGTTTTCTCCCCGCAGGAGATTACGTAGCTGCGCTGCAAATATTCAATGAATTCGTCGAGTTCGTGGAAGCTTGTGTCGTGGCTGGTGCCAGGGGGAACTATAATGCTATCTTACATAGGTGACATATTATAATAATTTATATAACCGACGAAAGTGCGTCTTCAATATATTAGGATGAAAAATACGTAATAAAATTTATGTCCGCAGGTGTGAAGTAACACGAGTATTGCTGCTACTCATTCTTCAACCATCCCCACAGAGACTGACACCCTCCCTTGCTCAAGTTCTCGAGAAATACGCCTGGATAGAAGAAAATGTGAACAATGGTACGGTATAGTACGATATCATTCTAAGATATATTTTCAAGAGATGTACAAGAGATTCATATTACAGGTCTCAATATGAGCGAGGATGAACTATTGTTATTGCAATCCCTGGTGCTGGCGTGCCAGTCTCACGACTACCAAGCGGTATTAGATCTGGAGAGCGAATTGTATCCTTACTTGGACACGGAGCAAAAGGAGCTGTTACATAAATTGATACAAGTACTATCGACGCAGTAAAGATATGCAGCAAGAGAACCCGATGCAACTTTTTCCTCTTCTTCAGTATCGCGATACATCTGGCACTTTCTACCACACCGACGGTCTTCCTATGACGATTAATACTAAGCGAGACGCAGCACTAACGTAGACAGCGTTCGTACGATAATGTTCTGTCGAATTCGGCTATCGGTTTGGATCCCGAGCTACGATCTTGGACGGATGAAGCGTTTCTCCGCTGTATCCTCGTTAAAAGCAACAAGAATATAGAGATTTAATTTACGCCCTACTCGCGTTAATGTCAATACAAACGTCCTGAAACTCCACGTAAACCTAAAGTTAATTATATTTTAGATTTTTATAATGTAACCTGTGTCGCAATTGCTCGCCAAATCAACACTCAAGCGGCACAAAATCTAAAACTGAAACATAAGACGTCTCAGAGACTTTAAGCTCTTCTCTACAACCTTGCTTTAAGACGTAAGTAAATTGACCAATCACGATCGATTATTCTTCTAATAAACGACTGTGATTAATCAATTTGTTTATTCTTCACTTCTTAAAGCAAGGTTGTAGGCAAAGGCTAAGACGTTTCAAAGACATCTTAAAGACGTCTCACGTTCCGGTTTTAAGTTTCATGCTGTCTGAGTACTCTCGGCGTAGTAAGTACACGAGAACGCTGTTGAAAATCAAACGCGACTGATTCTCCGACTCTCTTTTCCACCGTAGACACTTGCGTAGAGCGCGGGTTCGCGCCGTAGACTCGCGGCTCCTCGAAAATCGGGGCACATTCCTCAGGGCGAGCAGAAGATGCTCCCTCGGCTCCTCGTCTCTTTCTCCTTTTTCACGCGATTACGATATTGGTCTCCTCGAAACAGGTTCCTGCGGCTAAACGGGCGATTGCTTAACCGCCGTCGATGATGAGCCGCTTTCTTACAAATCGGACGATGTTGCAAGCGGCGAATGCGGTCGAGACGCTACGCGGTAGCGCACCGTCTGATCTCGTTGAGGACACGAGTGGCTTGCGTGTGAAAGGCGAAGAAGGAACTCTTTAGACGAGAATCGTATAACGAGCCGAGCGGAGCAAAGCCGGGAGGAAGGGCACAGCCGTGCGTGCCGGTGTAGCGACGGGGGCACCTGTGGAGGAGGGGATGTCTCGCGTCCCACGAGAGAGTCCTTCGTTCCTCCACACGGCTACTGTTCAAGGCATAGGCTCAGTCATCGCGCGAAAGTTCCCCGGAGTTCTTCGGATCGTTGCGTTCTCTGGCTGAATTGTCGTGAGCCCTGGGCCGAGGTAATAATCTCTTCATTGTATCTCGCTCGATATTTTTCGTGCAAGCAGCCTGAGAGAGGGTCTCCCGCTGGGCCCTGCGTGGCGAAGTGAAACGATAAAGATCGCGCGTACATATTGACGAAAGAGTCGACCCGGGACGCAACGCGTCCAGTCTCTTCGCTCGAACATGAGTAATAGGAGGATTCTCCGCACCTGAACGATCTCCCGTGAACCGAAAGTGAAAAATCGGCCTCCAAGGACGGCCGATCGATACTTCAGTTGAAAAAGTCAAGGTTTCCGATGGGAAAAGATTCGAAATCGAGCCTGGATGTCGCGAGGATAAACGATACCGGAGATTCACTGAACGAAGCCCTAAATTAAGCCGTATGACCTTCGAATGTACCGTTAAGTGATCATGCGAGAGAATTGGCTCGCGATTGTTTTTTTATCAATCACCCGGTGAATCACCTAGACAACAATGGGCTGCCAATGTCCAAAATCGGGACATAAGAGGTCTTTTAGACGTCTTATATTATGATATCTTACGGACAACTCAAAGATGTCTGAAAGATGTCTTCTGTCCCGATTTTCGACATTCGTGTTGTCTGGGTATCAACTAAGTAACATTGCTACATTACGGCGATGTTACAATTTTTCATTCAACAATGTAAATGCAATATAACATGAGTTGTATGTAACAGTTACATCGTTAGCGAGGAATTATAACATTGTTGTAATGTTGCCGTTGGTTGGTGTTTACTTGGTAAAAGTTTCCGGTCGATGTATCGCATGCAGACATTTATATACGTATATAACACTCGAAAGCGCGAATTTCCGAGACGCTTGAAATTTGATCGGTCAAGTTTTGATCGCTCGTTGTAAGAAAAGTACAGAAAGATTTTATGTATCGGCAGATTTATTATTTACTTACGTACTTATTATTAACGTACCGCGTCCTTCTTTCTTCATTTCGTCAAACGGTATACAGCGTTCTCACTGCTAATGATTTACCACGTGTTTCGGCGACCTTGAACTCTCTTTGCTCACCTGAACGAAGGTGAATGCCCCAAGCACCTGCACTCATCGTCGCTCGCAGTCTTGATAGATATACATTCTCGAACCCTTAGTCTTTCTGAAATATAGCCGCCTCACAGTCTCAGTTGAGAAAAAAAAATATATTTTATCAATCAGAAATCATGTTTAAACAACAAATAACTGGACACATACTGTTAGAAAAATTCTTCAAAATATTTGCCTTCCTTATCGATGCACAGAGCGCGAGCGTGGCAAACAGCCACAAACGGTAACAAACAGCGTACTGGTCTAGTGGTATGCCAGAGATCCCAGGTTCGATCCCCGGAACCAACAAATCTTCATACGCTCATTTCCAATAAACTTCAAGTATCAGTAACATAATCGACGTTATAATGTCCAATATAACATCGTGACTGTTACACAACACGTGGTATTACATTACTGATACTTGGTGTTTACTAGGCTCATCATACTAGGTATCTCAAGAATCAAGTTTTAACGGACATACGTTTGCTAAGGCACATTTTTACTTATTTTTCAACACAAAATCTGTCCTGTAAGTTTGTCGACAGAGTTTATCCTGTATATTATAAATTCGTTTGCATAAATACGTTTGCATGTACACTCCTCCATTCCTTTCGCCTCTTTTACGCATGTAAATGTATTTATAATATACAGGATAAAGCGGTGAGCGGAGAATTACGGTGGTTAAAGATTGATTATTCTTGTCAGAAAGATGACGGGAGAATGGAGGACCATTTTTGTGACCGGAGGCGCCGGTTACATCGGCAGTCATTGTATCGTCGAGCTTTTGGAGTGCGGATACGACGTAATAGCTATAGACAACTTCGCAAACAGCGTGACAGAAACCGACGGCGAGTCTGCGGCGCTCAAGAGGGTCGAGCAAATAACAGAAAAGAAAGTAACGTTCTACAATTGCGATCTGCTCGACAGAGAGAAGCTCGAATCCATCTTTACCAAGGTATCGCGAAATCGCATTTCCTAGATCTTTCGAATATATTCTCACGCGAACGATACATCTGCGTCTCTACCCTGATGGATATATTTTGCTGAAATTACTATGAAATTTATCTATAGGAAGACTTATAATTTGTATAACATAAAATCGAGCAAATCAACGAGTGATTTTACCGACCATAAAAGCGAGTAATTCTCTCTTTTGCAGCACAAAATAGATTGCGTGATACATTTCGCGGCTATCAAAGCAGTCGGCGAATCGATGCAAGTTCCGCTTCATTATTACCGGAACAACATAATTGGCGCTATTAACCTACTAGAGGTAAGAAAGAAATAAGAGGAGAATATATTACACGCTTGACGCTTTTGAAATATTATCATGGCCCGACACATTGTCCTCTCTTCGTAGGTGATGAAAGCAGCTGGCTGTTTTCAATTAGTATTCAGTAGCTCTTGCACGGTGTACGGCGAGCCTACAGAATTGCCAATTACGGAAAACCACGAGACCGGCAACATCACCAATGTATATGGCCGTACAAAGTACTTCATTGAGGAAATGCTGAAGGATATATCCAGAGCTGAAAAGGTACGTAAACAACACACACCAAAGAACGTATCTAGCAATTAAAAATTGCTTATTTGTTGTTTTCGTACAATTATATATTGAGCAAAAATGTGAACAATTATATTAAACAAAAATTTTGTATACTGCATTTCTTCCGCTTCTCTTTCTTTTATTAAAAACTTCTTTGGTTTTTTGACAGAGTTGGAACATCATATCGCTAAGATATTTCAACCCGGTGGGTGCTCACAGTAGCGGATTAATCGGGGAGGATCCGACGAAGCCATTCACAAATCTGATGCCGTATATCGCTCAAGTCGCTTTAAGGCACAAACCGGAACTGGTTATATTCGGTGGGGATTATCCTACGAAAGATGGCACAGGTTTATATCGTATATTCGGTATCGATTGAGGCACAGAGATTGCAATTTAATCCGTACGTAATAATTTCACCTCGTTCTCCTCCCGTCTCAGGCATCCGTGATTACATTCACGTTATGGATTTGGCGGCTGGTCACGTGGCAGCATTGAACGCTTTGCACAAGGAGCATCTCAGGCTAAAAATTTACAACCTAGGTACCGGCAAGGGTGTGTCGGTATTGGAATTAATAAAGACGTTTGAAAAGATCACCGGCACTACCGTGCCGTACGTGATAAAAGAAAGGAGAGAGGGTGACATAGTGTCTATGTACGCCAATACAGATCTGGCGAAGGAAGAATTGGGCTGGACATCGAAGTACAACGTCGAGCAAATGTGTAAGTGACATTTTCGGCCGGGCACGCGCGTGTCCTCAATATGTAAACTCGATCATTTCTAACAAACGATAACGAATGCAGGTCGAGACTTTTGGAGGTGGCAAACGATGAATCCACACGGTTATCGAACTTCGATAAAGAACGGTATTAACGAACACTTAAATAACATATCGTAACGGCGGATTGTATCGTCGGGGAGATTACGCAGAAACGAAATTTTGTAATAAAGAATCAAGATGTGTCATGAAACTTACCTATTTATGATCTATGCCTCTCAGCTTGTCTCTTACACTCTCACATTTAATTTCTGCTCTCAGTCTCGCTTTTTATATTGTCAGTATTGTTTTCCTCAACTTTCTTATTCTCATCCAGAATTTGATAGAGTGACAGATGCTGAAACTTTAAGATCTCCAGACCCCAACTAGTCCATCCGGGCAGCAAATATCTCGCAAAAATTTCCAGACACTTTGGCTCATTTGGGAGGTACTCCTTTATAATTTCTTAAAATATGAACAAATTTATACCGTGAAATATCATCTCACTAATATTATATACTACATATTTTTTATTCAACTTAATCTTCATACCTGTCACTGGTGGCTTGTGAGAATGGACTGCACTAGGTACACTGACTACTAATTTGCCATCAGGAATATTCAGTCTGTCCTCTTTTAACGCAGATCCTAGTATCAATAATTCATAAGGTTGCTTTCCAGGCGCTAAGTTAAAATTACATATCGTATCCCCCGCCTGTGTTACCTGAGGAACAGCGGTTACACGTTATTTCATGCTAATTACATTAAGTTGTATGTTAAGTAAGAATATTGTATAATTAAGTAAGAATTGTATTGTAAAAATATGACTTACCTTGATCCAATACCACTTGGCTCTGTAAGTAACACCCCAAGATGGGAACATCTCATTGGAGATACTATTCAAGTGACTAGATGCGTTGGTACACCATACAGCCACAATACCATTAGAATGCAATAGTTTACCCACTGGTATTTTGGCCAATTCTTCATTGTACATCATTTTGTAGCTGTAAGAGCAAGTAGTATATCATCTCGTGAAACATTTAACATGACCAAAAGTCACATTACTTATCTCCTTGCAATAATTCAGGGATAAATTAGATTTACGATTGTACAAAATCAACTGTTCTCACTTTAAACTAAAATTCTGCTCTTTTACCAACTTATATTGAATACAAGATTACCTAGCTTCAGCATATTTCATCTTTTTTCTTCTGATTGACTTGTTCCACCAAGGCGGATCCAACAGTATGAAATCGTACTGTTTATTCAGCTCCATCTTCTTTTCTATGTCTCCTACGTCATAACAATAAAATGTACATTCCTTTGGGAATACATATTTCTTATCATGGACCTCAGTTACGATAGCATCATTTGTTTCATTGGACCCATACAAGTTCTCGTCTTTATGGCAATAGGTATCCAGATAAAATTTTTTGGAAGCCAAGCGTGCTGCTTCATTGTTATCCGAAGATGTATTTCCACAAAAAAGCCCTTCTATTTTTGCAGCAGACATTATTGTATTAAATACTTCTTTAATATGGTGGACCTGTTACAAAAAAACACTTGAAATATAAACCAAAGCATAAGTATGTGGTCTTATAAATATACTGGAAATGTTGAAAATTATTTCAAAATTTAAATTAAATATTATAATATATTTCTGTTGAAACCTACTTCTTCCAAATCCTTTTGTGGCAATAAATTTGAACGTTTTCTCTTTTTACTTTTACCATGCAACAAAATAGCACTGTCTTGGGCGGTCTGCACTATTTGATTTTGCCTCAAATATTGTGAATTAATTTCGAATATCATTTTGTTAAATTCCAGAGTACAGAACTCATAGTCATTTAAAACTTTCTTATAAATATCATTAAGATACTGCAAATGAGATACAATCCAGCCTTCTTTGCTAGTAAAAAGAAGGCTCATGTTTCATCCTAGAAAAAAATGTATACTGCTATATATACATATATATATATATATATATATATATATATATATATACATATATATGTACACACACTGCTTATTATTATATGTTTTTAATATATATCTTCTATTTCACCATTATAATAAATCTTTTGTCAATTGTGTCCATTTAGTTAGTATAACAAATCATGTAACAAACACATACACATATTTCAATTAATGAAACAATGCCATGAGCTTGATTCAAAAAATCTACATACTACGTAATTTATATATACGTAAAAGTTCACTTTTTTGTTTTATAACCTGCGTTCTTTTGTACTTGCTGCGTTAATAATGAAACAGATGCACTTTAATGCTTTGAAGTGAGAAAGAGAACAGAATCACATGTAGAAAGTGCAATGCTCTAACGACGGTATTGGTCGCTATAACCGCCATTTGCCGGCGTCACACTCATACGCGTGTGATTGAGTTTTGCCTCGATATTCCCATATTTACGGTCAAGTCTTTGTGTTGTTACAAGGTTGAAACTTCAATAACATTATGGTTCTATTAGGTGAAACATTCCCGGACTTTACGGCAGATACGCAAATAGGCACGATCAAGTTCCACGAATGGTTGGGCGACTCGTAAGCACATCTTACATTCTCATAACCTTTAATATTGTGTCACGTTGATGTAAATAAATGAAATATTAATAATCATATTATATTAGAATGCACTTTGTAGTAAAATGTTTGTAGCACTCTTATTGTTGTGTTATTTATTATAATTATTTGCAATTTATAAATTATACAAATCTGTCAAGCATATATATATATATATATATATATATATA